GGGGTTCTTTCCCCACTTCTTTAACATCCCCACCTTGCAGCAGTACGTGGGGGCCATGCCGGCCCGAGAGTATTACGATCCCGACGGCATGAAACCGGCCCGTCGCGCCGAGTTCGACCGATGGTACGCGGAGCAAGTGGCGTCCCATCGCGTGTTCAACTTGCAAGTCGAACTGCTCAAATACTGCCAGTCTGACGTCCGGATCCTGAAACAGGCGTGTACCCTCTTCGAGCGTGAATTCAGGGGTATTTGCGGGTTCGACCCCTTCGAACAATGCATCACCATCGCCTCGGCGTGCAACGTGGCCTACCGTCAGCATTGGATGCGGCCCCGAACCCTGGCCGTCGAACCCCTGCACGGCTGGCATCCACAGATCCGTCAATCGAGAGCCGCCTTGGAATGGCTGTACCACCTAGAACGCATCCTGCCCCCACCCACGGACGGGGAACCGCGCCTACGCCACAGTCGGAACGGAGGCGAAGTGCTGTTCCGGATCGGCGAGCATCGCTACCACGCGGACGGCTACGATCCGCGCACCGGGTTCGTGTACGAATTCTACGGCTGTTTCTACCACGGGTGCCCCGAATGTTTTCCCCAACGACACCAGCGGCACGCCAAACTCGACGGGGCCACGCCCCACGAACTGTACACGCGCACGGTCCAACGGGCCGAACACATTCGTCAAGGCGGTCACGTGATGGTCGAAAAGTGGGAGTGCGAGTGGGACGCCCAAAAGAGGGAAGATCCCGAGTTGCGCCTGTGGGCCGACACCCTGGATCTGGTGACGCCCCTGGATCCCCGCGAGGCCTTCTTCGGCGGACGGACCGAAGCCGTGCGAGCTCACTGTCAGGCCCAGCCGGACCAACACATCTTCTACGACGATTTCACGTCGCTGTACCCGTGGGTCAATAAGAATTGCAAATACCCCGTGGGGCATCCCGTCATTCACACGCAGTTTTCCTGCCAGACCCCCGAAGACTGGGACCGACTGGTGCGCCATCAATCGTACGGGTTGGTCCAATGCCGCGTCCTGCCACCTCACTACCTGTTTCATCCCGTGCTACCCGTCCGCGTGGCCGGCAAGTTGTTGTTTCCCTTATGTGTCCAATGTGCCCGAGACCAAGTGCCCCTGCCCTGGACGGAACGCACCCACATCTGCGACCACACCCCTCGAGAACGAGCCTTCGTGGGGACGTGGTGCACACCCGAATTGGTACTGGCCCTGGACCAAGGGTACGTGATCCTGCACATCTACGAACTGTGGAACTTTCGTACGACCTCCACCACCCTGTTCCGGGATTACATCAACACCTGGATCAAGGTGAAACAGGAAGCCGACGGCTGGCCCTCGCCCGAGGTGGCCAAAGATCCCGCCTTGCAGATCCAGTACCTGGAAGAGTTTCGGCGCGTCGAAGGGGTGATCCTCGACCCGGCCAAGATCGAACGCAACGAGGGTCGACGCACGTTGGGCAAATTGATGGCCAACAGTTTCTGGGGCAAATTCGGTCAACGCACCAACAAGACCCAGGTGACCACCTGCAAAGACCCCGAGAGCTTCTTCGATCTCTTTCTGGACGGCGAACGCGACATCCATCGCATCCTGCCGGCCGGCGAACAGATGATCGACGTGTACCATTCGTTCAAAGAAGACGTGGGCGAACTGGGCACCAACACCAATATCTTTGTGGCCGCCTTCACCACGGCCCACGCGCGCGTCAAATTATATCACGACGGACTGCTGCCCCTGCACACCCGCGTGCTGTACATGGACACGGATTCCGTGGTGTACCTGGCCACCCAAGGCGAGACCCACCTGCCGCGAGGACGTTTCCTGGGCCAATTCAAGGACGAACTGAAAGGCGACGTCATCGACGAATTCGTGGCCGGCGGCCCCAAAAATTACGCCTACCGCACCCGTTCGGGACAAGAATGCTGCAAGGTGCGCGGCTTCACCCTGGACGCCCGGGGACAAGCCGTCCTGAACTTCGAGAGTGTTCGAAACCTGGTGCAGAAAGACATCGACGAGCCTCTCGATCGTCCCAGAACGCTGTCCGTCGACAACCCCCATCACATCGTACGGAACGTCAACGACAAGACGCTCCATTCCGTGCCGCAACGCAAGACCTACTCCATGGTCCAAGACAAACGGGTGTTGGAGGCCACGACCGGCATGACGTACCCCTACGGCTATCGGCCCAGTCAGGACATTGTAGACGACATGGTGTTGTCGGTGCTGTTCTCGGACATAGACTCTCCCTTAGAAGACTATGAGGAGGACTTGCCTTTGGTTCCAGAAACGTACCAAGGTTGAAAACAAATGATAGGGACGCCCCACACCACTAGGGTCGGGCACACGTTCCCGCTTGTAACACGTTAGGGTTCATGCCTTGTACAATAAACTTGAGTTTGAACACTGTGCCAAAAAACATGCGTTTATTTTTTTTTTTCCTTTTTTTTGAATTCCCTAGGGAATACCCACGTGACCACCCTAGGGTTGAGAGACTGTCCGGGGGGGAACCTAGACCTTGCCCCAGCCTAGGGTTAGGGTCAGGACCCAGGGGAACACCGTGAACCCCCCAAAAACACAAGTGTCTCTAGTGCGCATGCGCCCTCGCCCATTCTCTCTTAGGGTTCCCACAAGGACGAGACTTCCCCTTCGTCTACTCATATAAGAGCCCTTAGGGTTACAGTGAGGGTCACAGGGCTCTAGGGTTAGGGTTACAGGGGCCACACTATAACGTGACACCCACTTTTACAACACGTCATCACCCCTATGACGTCACTCCTTCACTAATGAGTGATTGACAGCTCATTAGCGTGTTTAAAGGGATCATTAAATCACTAATGATGATTGACAGGTCACATGACCTCTTGCTGCACGCTGATTGGTCCATTTGTACCACGTGACCTAAATGCGGCTTTCTGATTGGTCTGTACCGTAGTGACCCCCATTACTACTCGTGAAACACCTTATTCTGGCCTGTTTTGTCTTGAATAGAAAGATGGAAAATTTTCAAAGTTTTGACCGAAAACATGGACTATTCCCTTCGGAAAAATCCTAATTTTTTCGTCCTTTTTAACTTTTTGTTTTTGTAGTCTGAAAAGGCGTTCTTCCTTTCTAAAATGTCGTGAAACGCATATTCCTGGGCTATTTTCCCACAAATATAAAGATGCAAAATTTCAAATTTTTGACCAAAAGCATGGACCAACCCCATTGAAAGAATGCTTATTTTTCGACTTTATTAAGTTCTTGTTTTTATAGTCTAAAAAGGCATTTTTCCTCTGTAGAATAACGTGAGAAGCATTTTCCGGGCTTATTTTGCCTCAAATAAAAAGATGGAAAAATTGCAAATTTTTTAACAAAAATTATAATTCTTGGACGTTTTTCCCTTCTTGAATGTCGTGAAACGTATTTTTCTTGCCTGTTTGCCTAAAATAGAAAGATGGAAAATTTGCAAATTTTTGAGCAAAACCATGGACTATCCTCTTAGGAAAAATTCCAATTTGTCAAGTTTTTTAACTTCTTGCTTTTTTAGTCTAAGAAGGTGTTCTTCCTTTCTACAATGCCGTGAGACGCATTTTTATGACCTATTTTTCTAAAATGAAAAGGCGGAACAATTTCAAATTTTTTGACCAAAAACAATAATCTTTCCCCTTAACAAAAATTCTCATTTTTCGACTTTTTTTTTTTTGTAGTTTTAAAGGGCGTTTTTCTTTTCTAAATATAGTGCAAGGCATTTTCACAGGCCTATTCTGCCTAAAATACAAAGATAACGAAAACTATGGACTATCCCTTTGGAAAAATCTTAATTTTTCGTCGTTTTTAACTCCTTGTTTTCTTACTTTGAAAAGGCGTTCTTTTTTTCTACAATATCGTGAAACACATTTTCATGGCCTATTTTGCCACAAAAATAAAGACGGAAAATTTTTAATATTTTGACCAAAACCAGTTTCTTTTTTATTCGTTCAAAAGCATTTCTAGGATCTATTTTTCTTGTTTTCCCGCTGTTACAGTAATACGGGATCCCCAAGTTTTGGCGTCCCTATTGCAAAAACCCTAGTGATAACACAGGCTGCCCAAGGTCAATATTAGAGTACGTGCGGTTAGGTAATTTTTAACATGGCCATTATTATAAAGAATTTGTATGGGAATAGGCCATTTCCGAGTTCCACAGGGCCCCTGTTTCAAAACGAGGGTAGCCTTTGATATGGAGATCATTTTTCATTCTCATGCAAATAAAACTCATTTTCATATTAAAGAACGGTTGTGCAATTAGCCTCATTTTGAAAGTGAGCGTTTTTGGAACTCGGAAGTGACCTATTCAGGTAATAGATTCAAGAAGATAAAAAATCGCATGAATTTTCAATAAAATACGCTTTACCTTATTTACTTGCTGTCTTCTTGCTTCCTGTGTGGTTATTTTCCCGATCAGTTGCGATTTCCCTTATCCCGAGATTCCACTAATATATTATTACCTCCAAGTAAACAGGCTCTAAGACGAAGCTTGAATGAAAGAGTTGTCTAGAGCATTATATGACCTCCATTGGCCAGGGTTGGAAACCCCGCAAGGGATGCCATACATGGGATTAATTCTTTGCAGGTTTTGCCTCTTTCTCCGAGAGGTTTCCTTCGGGTACTCCGGTTTTCCCCTCTTCTTATAACCCATTGCTTCCAAATTCCAATACAATCAGGAACACACGAACTCCTCAAACGAGTCTTACGTTGAGAAATCCTAACTGCTTCGCAGGTAACCAATTTTTGCCTTCGGAATGAGAGTGATTTGGCGATCAACCCTGGATTTTCCTTGCCCTAATCCGCCAATCCAAGTAATTAAACGCTCAAGGAAATCAGTTATAAAGTGGCCACAGACTGGCCCACTATTATTGCCACATTTTAAGAGACATTTTAATTTTTTCTCATAGGTGATCGAGTTCGAGACAAAAAGAACATCAGCTACACAAAAGACAACTTACTCCTTAAGACCTTAAATAACTCTCTTCCTCCTTTATTTCCCATTAAAAATTTTACATCTCACACCATTTTGTATTAAACTAAAGTTTTCTTTTTCCAAAGTTGCATTCGTAGTCATTACATTATTAAAACCTAGTTGCCGAAATGCGTCCCGCAATTGCTTCTGGGATCGTTATGGTGGACGCGCCGGTCAGCTATTGGTCAATTTTTTTTCCCTGTGCCTAGTAACAATCCCAGAAGTCTTTGCAGAAGTTAACTGGACCCAGTTCCCTTATCGGTCCTAAGTGGCAAATGAACTATTGTAGCTTGCTGCGAAACAGCTTGCCTTCTTAAAGAATATTTCCCCTATGTGGGCATGCATTCAGTAAGCTTAAAACAATAGAGTGCAAGACTCCATGGCTTCAAAATATGGTCTCAAACCAACCAAGTGTCTTTTGAATTCAAATTGCCAAACAGGTTATTCCTTTAAAAATATATGTATATATACCAACAAAGCCCCATCAACCAGTAACGATGCTAAACAGAAAGCCTAAGGCTTGCCCATTTACGAATTGATTTATTCTGTGGTGCAAATCCATTTTCAAAGAGGCTATAACAAGGACATTTTTTCAGCTCATGCAACAGTTCGATGAAACACATGCGCCCCCGCTTAGGAGCTTGTTGACAACAGCTCTCGCCATGTACGTAGTGGTACCTCCTTTGCCTTCGCAGGGTGTGTTGTAAAACTGGTCCCTTACACTCTACACAGAAAATGGCTTTGTGTTAGTATGGAAAATTATAATTATGATCATAATCATAATCAATGTTATCACAAAAAATGAATAATTGAAATGAACCTATGACGTTTATATTTAGTTGGTAAACAGTCGATGCCATTAATGTTAATAAAGCCCTGAGGGATGACGTGTAAGTGTAGAAGACGATTATGATTGATTATGATTATGATTATGGTAAAATTATCGTCTTTCATAAAATCACACTGTAAGCCGACTGGCTCCCAGGCAACTAAAATATGTTCAAATATGCTCATATGTTCAGAGAAAAAGTGTCAAGGTTACGAATGAAATGTATAATAAGAAAACAACCATCAGCAATAATTTAAAATGAAAAATTATCGCCATCAAAGTGTAACAGTTAGCAGCAAACGGGCTCGAGATCGATCATGGGTCTTTTCTTTAGCCTGTTTTTTTGAGGGGAGGGGAGGGGAGGGGGCGGATGTACACAGGCTAGAACTTCTTTTAAATATTGAAAACGTGCAGTAACATGATTGTCTTGAAACGACATTGAGCGTTAACGAAAATGGAAATTGCATCCTCGACAAGAGACCTCACCTGATTGTCACCTGGCCCGACATCGAAACTGAAAAGTTCGATGGCTTCGTCCACAAGCTGTGAAAATAAAAGGAAAATAAAAGCAGTGTTGGAACTGTAAGGATGAGAAAACTGTCTCTTCCAAGAAAATGTCCCAAAACATCTTGATACGCTGCAAAAATGTAACAATCGACGCAACGTAACATTGGTGGGAAATGTAACACCTTAAAACGAGACATGTAACTTAAACATTGGATTGTTACGTTGCATGTTAAAAAACCCTGAAGGTTGCAGCGTGGCCGAGTGGTTAGAGTGTTGAACTTGCAATCCGGAGGTCTCCAGTTTAAGTCCCTCCCTGACAACAAGCTGGAATTCTTCTCAGTATTCCCGATTTCAACTACCCTGGCATTTTTGTAAATTGTCAGCTGGTTTGGTCCTAGTCTGCTACAGAGCGGTTTTTAGTGTCGTCACGCAACGCTCCTCCCCACTAGTGGGAAGAAGCGTTGCGTGACGACACTAAAACCCGCTGTGTAGCAGACTGGTTTGGCCCCCGTCAAATGCAAGTTTTACCTGTTATGTTTTATTTGTGTTGTGGGCCACAGTTTAAACTACGGGGTGATCAATAATTGTGTCACATCTTTAAGTCATTTTTTTCCTGTTACATTTTCAGTAAAGGTTGTCGCATTTCAAATTAATCAGTTATTTACTTGTATGCGTTAAAAGTTGAGTCGAAAGTTCTTGTAATTTTCGTGTGAGTGTTGCGTGTTGTTGGATTATCATACCTCGTCAAGATCAATACACTGACTTAGCTCCACTTCTGGGTTTCTTTCAAGAATCGTTGCAAGTACGACCAACAGCTAACAAGCAAAAAGTAACAAGATCTTGGTAGTGTCATCATAAGTAAGCTTTCAATAACATGCTTAGACCCACGGCGCTTGGAGACTAATTCTCGATGAAATGATACAATTTCGCTTACAAGTTGGCAATGAACTGAACTGGACTTTGATTCGTCTGATTGTCTTAATGAATACTACCCTAAAATAACCTGCAAAAGAAACGCTTCGGTTGAAGAGTCCAAGAACTGCGAAATAAGGGTAGTTTGTTCTACATTTGAGTAGGCAACGTTTCAAACTCGCGAGTATTTTCCCGAAAATTGGTGTTGTTTCCTCAGTGATAGGTCGTCCTAGAACGGAGAATGCGTGCTTGGCACTGTCGTGAAGAAATGTTAAGATACAGTTTTCTGAGTTGGAAAAACAGAGTGCTATATGGTCGCGAGGAGATATGGAATTTCTCTTCGAGCGTTGAAAAATATTTCGAATTTTCGTATCACCAAACGACCATGTCATGAACAAGTTCATATCATGATCTATTTATTACGTAAACAGCCATGAAATACCTAACCTGCGAAAAGCGCAATTGTCGTGTACTCATAGCAACAGTAATCTTTTCACGTGTGAAGATATCATGTTTCCGCACGAAAGCTCAAGTGGTATTTGGTATTCATTGGTTATTATAATAAAGTTCTTTAATCAAGTACTTACCTCCACCACTGTCTGTCTGTACTCCGGGTTCGAAATATCACTAAGCAACTCTTCTACTTTTAGCTGAAAGTTCCTTTCACGATGTGTCATATCCGATAAGGTAGGAAGCTGTCAACAAAAAGTACGCAAAACATGCGAATCTCCTCCGGTATCACGTCACTTACTTTTAAGGGATTAAAACAAGCTTGTACGTCGCTATGACGGGCGCTTTCCATTCAACAAAAATTCCGGTTTAAAATTCGGAAATTCCACTTTCCCAATGGAACGGTATATCCCGGTTGCACAGACCCGACCCAAGCCACCGCGCGTTTGGTTATTGTTAGTGTAAGCAGGATACAAACGACAGAAACTTATCAAAGCTATTGCTATTGCATTTAACAGGGAGTCAAATCATACCAGATGAAACAAAAAACACCTCATATGATCGCGGTGGAACGGTTTGTGTCTATTAGCAGAGGCTTGACTGTACATTGCCTCGAATAGCTGTTACTAACTGCAGGCAGTGTGAATGTGTACATGTATTTCTTTAAGGCTTCATAAAGTTGTTGTCGTTGTTACATTGTCCTGTTCATTTTCTATTGAAAATGCCTGTAAAACACTATCCAATAGACTTCTTTGGCTTTTATGTTTTGTTTTCTCAATAAAGTAATATATAATGTGATAATACTCTAGAGAACTGTTTCATTCAAATTTTGTCTTATTCACGTGCATATTTAAGCATAATTTCTGAAAAGACAAAGGGTCAAGTTCCCCAGGACGTCTATTGGGAAAACAAAACATACAAGCTGAAGAGGTCTATAAACGCGAGGAGGTGAGCACTGGCCAATGAAAACATCGGGAAACTGACCACTCACCCTTCCCCTAAGCCAACATTTTGCCTTAAGTGAGAAGTGAGTGTTAATGTTGGCTTAGGGGAGGGGTAGGTGGGCAGTTTCCCAGAAATGTATAATGATTTCAATTTTCTATATAAGCTTAGGGTAGGGAGAGTGGAAGCGGGTCAGGTCGCCCCCAGACCCTCCTAGAAAGGGGGACCTAGCTTCGCGAGAAGGTGAGTTAAACTCTTATGCTACAGACAATAAAGAGATTAAGAAACACGTTTACGGCAAACAGCAAACGCCACTTTGTACCACCAGCTGACCAGGTGTTTTCTTTCCCAGTTCATTTTACTTTTCGTTAAGCTACAAAAAAATAAGACGCGTCATGCCAGTTTCATCCAAGTGAATTGGTTCGGACAGTTCTTATCTGTTTTTGAGAAGTCGTCAACTAGAATCTGACGTTTGCCGTTTACCGTAAACGAAATTTCAAATCTCTTTGTTAATTTAAAGGAGGACTTACCTGCGATAAGATGTTATGTTTAGATACTTTTATTCCTTCAGGAGCTCTAGACAATATACCCCACACTATAAACAAAACAATGGATATCCCTGTTACTTTTCTAAGTAGCTCACGCGAAATGACAGTGAGGTTACGCAACAGGACGGCAGGAAGAAGAGGACGGCAAAACGCTTGTGTGTGACAAACGTGACAGGGCTATAACTTGCGCGTTATGTCGTGATCATGTTTTCTGGTCTTTACAAAAAGATATGTTTAAAGCAAGGAAAGTGAAGTTTGGCGAAAAGTTGTTTCAAACAGTATACTACTACTGCATGAAAAATTTCTGCAATTTGATTGGCTTATAGAAGTGGTAATTCAGCTTAATTTGAAATACCTACGTGGGATAAACACGACGGAACGAGATCATTTGCTACTGCATACTTAATTACGTTATATTCTCTTCCCTTTGCGCCATTACAGCGGAACATGATTTACATTTCAAGACGACAACTGAAAACAGAGAATTTTCCTTGTTTTGTCTAACTATGAGCTTGACAGTGTCTCATTCTCGATGGCTTGAGTGCGATTGACAACGTGAGCGAATTTGAATAGAGGTAGCTTAGCTCTTGTGTCGCCACTGCGCTTTAATCTTTCTTTCTTTCTTTAGTCGAAGGATGGACCTCGGATGTTCGTAAACAAGAAACCAAACTGACCTTTGTCGTAAAACCCAGAAGGTACTCTATGGACAGCACCGTCCAGTTGTCTGTGCTGCAGTGGGCTCCTAAAACAGAAACACTTTTATTTAACAATTGCCACTAAACTAAAAACATTGACGTTTAACTAAGGCCTCGTCCACACGTATCCGTTTTTGTTTGAAAACGGATATTTTTTCCGTCCAGTTTGGCCTATCATTCACACCTATCAAGTGAAAACGGTCACCGAAAACGCGCCTTTTCAAAAACGCTCTTCAGGAGTGGAGATTTCTGAATACGCTGGCTTCTTGTTTACCTGTAGACGGGCGAAAACGGAGTTTTTCGAATGCGATGATGTCATACATCATACACTTCTAGCATGACGCATGCTCATTAAGGAATGCTATCGTATTTCGATTGTTTTAGCGTTTTCGTATGGACGGGCCAAAACGATTCGAATACGCAACGTGTCGATGCGTATTTTTTTTTTTGAAAGCGGAGAAAAAATATCCGATTTCAAAAATATCTGGATGCGTATGCAAGGGGCTAAAGTAAATAAACCTTGCGCAGACAGAGGTCTATCGGAATCTTCGGAGGAAGGAAAATTACCACAAACTTCGCAAATGTCAGGATTACTATTGCGTTGCCCTACGACTTTCATTTTGCGTTACAATACGGTAACTATTAACAACAAAAGTGAGATACAAATTAAAATACCTGGGGGCCACGTCCTGTCCATGGTGCGTTCCTTTCGAGGTGAGAACAATCTTGAGTAGTGCCTTGACATCGCTTGGTGACTGAGCGTATAGCGACTACACAACAAAGAAAAACAGTCCAACCTCTATCTTGGTACTACTGTGAGCAGGCATCAGCGTTTGCCTCTAGAGTCTATCATAGTACAATGGACCCCCCACCCTCCCCGCCCCTATATGGCCATCTTGTCAATAAGGCCGCTTTCTGAAATGCCTATATAATTTCTTACAAGCAAAACTCCGTTTACGCCACCTCTCTCTTTAGCGTTGGGCCAACGGCCACGTAGTAAAGTCCCAACGTGTACATTCATATATCACCTTGCTAAAACGGTAACTCAGATCAATTGTGTTTTCTAAAAGGGCAGACGAGTGACGAACGAAAATGCTGAGATCTTGAGAAACCCAAGAAAGGGTCCACCTTCAAAGGTCACATGGTTTACATTTTCAATAACCATTGTAGTGTCGCAGTGTAGCCTTTGCCTTTTTTACGCAAATTCTGCGAACAAGCGACATGTTGCAAACCAAGAAAAGCACCCTGGAAGATTTGATAGAAAGGAAAGCAGCCAGGAAATGTGATCCTATCCCGTTAGCGGATCTTAATGACGCCAACCTCTTACCAGTTAGAGCGGCCAAATTCTTATGACCCCTTATTTGGCCGACTAATGCGGGATTCAATTGCAACAGATGTAACATATGACTATTAATTCATAGACACTGACCCTTGATATCTACTAGCGCTTAAGATCAAAATTTAATAAATAAACAAGTTGAGGATTTATAAGGCCGGGTCCACACGTGTCCGCTTTTATTTGAAAACGGAGAATTTTTTTCTCCGGTTTGTCCTGACGTCCACACGTATTCTGTGAAAACGGTCACCGAAAACGTATCCTTTCAAAACACAGTTTTCCTGTACTGGCGTGTAAATGGTCAAAACGGAGGTTTTTGAAAACGATTACGTCACGGTGTTGGATACAACTACATGCGCATGTCCCGAACAAAGATGGGACCGTTTTCAGCCACTATTGCATTTCGTGAGAACGAGCAAAACCAATTGAAAAACGCAACGTGTGGACGCGGATTTCTTTCAAAACGGAGGGAAAACTCTCAATTTTAATCCAAAACGGACACGTATCGACGGGGCCTAAATGCTTTTCTATAATGCTTAAAAAGCATTCCTACCCCGAGGCCTTTACTTGCTAGTCTCTGTTTCATTGCTTCAATGATCCATCTGTAAAATAAGCAAGTGTAAAGCTAACTCTACCCCGCCAACGGCAGACGTATTTCCAGTCGTCGCTTCTCTTCGGAGGGAGAGAAGCGACGACCTGAAATACGTCTGCGGTTCGCAGGCTAAGCTAATTCATGACGAATGACTGTTGTAACGCAAGTGAATAGGGAGCTTAAGCAAAATGCGTTCTTGAGCGACGGACGTCAACCGGAAGTGAGGCCTTTTCCCTCTTAACATGCCTAGACGATATAAAATTTGTATTGCTTAGCTTCTTTACTTTTATAGAGACGATTTGACTGAAAATTTGGGCGAAACCAGCGCTCAAAAATGTAAAAAAATCCACTTCCGGTTGGCGTGCATCGCTCAAAAACGCCCTAATAACAATTATTCACCGAAGCGTAGGTGGCTAGTGGTGATGGAATTTACCGAGCCGTACCAAAAACCATTTAACTCAGTTGTAGGCTTATTTATGAACATGTCAGCTAAAATAAAGTAACGAAGGACTTATTTTGCGTTTGTAGACAAAAAACGTTTTCACCGGTTTCATCGACAAATGTACGTTGAAGAGAAAAGGCTTTACATGTAAAAACTGCCAAATCAAATTTCCTCGCATTCTTTGCGTTTTTCGGGAACAGCTTCTTCGATCATTTGACACAACAGCGACAAAAGTGACAACAGTGTCAACAGTGAAACCAGCGACAACGGCGACCAAACGTGCCAACAGTGACAACAGCAAGAACGGTGACAACAGTCACAACAGCGAAAACAGTGACAACAGCGACAACAGTGTCAACAGTGAGAACAGTGACAACAGCGACAACAGAGACAACAGTGACAACAGCGACAAAAGTGACAATAACGACAACAGTGACAACAGCCACAACAGCGACCACAGTAACAACAGCGAATACAGTGACAACAGTGAAAACAGAGACAACAGCAACAACAGTGAAAAAAACCGCAACAGTGACAACAGCAACAACAGTGTCAACAGTGAAAACAGTGACAACAGCGACAACAGTGACAAAGTGGACAACAGCGACAAAAGTGACAAAAGTGACAACTGTGACAACAGCCACAACAGCAACCACAGTAACAACAGCGACAACTGTGAAAACAGCGACAACAGAGACAACAGCAACAACAGTGAATAAAACCACCACAGTGACAACAGCAACAACAGTGACAACGGTAACAACAGCGACAACAGTGACAACACTGAAAAGAGCAACAAGTGACAACAATGACAACAGTGACAACAGTAACAACAGTGACAACAGCGATAACAGTGACAACGGCGACAACAGTGACAACAGCAACAAGTGGCAACAGCGACAATAGCGACAACAGTGACAACAGCGAAAACAGCAAAAACAGTGACAAAAGAAACAAGAGCTAACACAGCGACAACAGTGACAACAGCGACAACAGTGACAACGGCGACAACCGTCACAACAGCGACAACAGTCAAAATAGCGAAAGTAGTGAAAAAGCGACAAAAAGTGACAGGAGCGACAACGGTGACAAAAGCGACAACAGTCACAACAGCTACAACAATGACAACAGCGACAATGGTAAGAACAGCGACAACACTCACAACAGCGACAACACTCACAACAGCGACAACAGCGAAAACAGTGACAAAAGCGACAACAGTGACAACGGTGAAAAAAGCGAGAAGAGCGACAACGGTGAAAACAGCGACAACAAACACAACAGTTACAACAGTGACAACGGTCACAATGGCGACAACGGTGAAAACAGTGACATCAGTGAAAACAGTGACAAAAGTGGGAACACTAACAGCACTGACAACAGCGACAACGGTGACAACAGCGACAACAGAGAAAAAAGAGACAACAGCGACAACAGCTAGAACAGTGACAAATGCGACAACAGCGACAACAGTGACAACAGCGAGAACAGTGACAACAGTGAAAACAGCACCAAGTGACAACAGTGACAAAAGTGACAACAGCCACAATCGTGACAACAGCGAGACACTGACAACAGCGACAACAGTGAGAAAGGCAAAAAGTGACAACCGTGAACACAGAGACAAAAGTGACAAGAATGACAATGGTGACAACAGCGGCAACAGTCACAACAACTACAACAGTGAAAACACCGACAACGGTGACAACAGCGACAACAGTCACAACAGTAACAACAATGAAAACAGCGAAAACAGCGACAAAAGCGAGAAGAGTCACAACAGCTACAACAGTGACAACCGTCACAACGGCGACAACAGAGACAACTGCCACGACAGTGACAAAAAGGACATCAGTGACAACAGTGACAACAGCGACAACAGCAACAAAAGTGAAATGGTGACGACGGTGAGAACAGCGACAACAGTGACAACAGCAACAGCAGTGACAACAGTCACAACAGCGGCAACAGTCACAACAGCAAGAACAGTGGTAACAGTGACAACAGGGACAACACCGAGAAAGGTAACAACGGTTACAACAGCGACAAAAGTGACAACGGTGACAATGGTGACAACAGTGAAAACAGCGACAACGGTAACAACGGCGACAACGGTGACAACCGCGACAACAGTAGAGTAAGAAGAGTGACAATGGTGACAACGGTGAGAACAGTGACAACAGCGACAACGGTGACAACAGTGACAACAGCGACAACAGTGCAAACGGTGGCAACAGTAACAACAGAGACAACGGTCACAACAGCAACAACAGTCAAAACAGACAAAAGAGTGACAACATTGACAACAGCAATGAGTGACAACAGCGACAACAGTGACAATAATGACAACAGCAACAACAGTCACAACAGCAAGAACAGTGACAACAGTGACAACAGAGACAACAGTGACAACAGTGAAAACAGTGACAAAAGCAACAACAGTGACAACAGTGACAACAGCGACAACCGCGACAACGGTGACAAAAGCGACAACAGTGACAGTAGTGAAAACAGTCAAAACGGTGACAACAGTGACAACAGCAACAATGGTGACAACAGCGGCAATAGTGACACCGGTGACAATGGTGACAACAGCAAGCACAGCGACCACGGTGACAACGGTGGCAACAGTGACAACAGTGACAACACTTACAACAGCGACAACGGTGAGAACGGGCAACATCGGTGACAATGGTGAAAACAGCAACAACCGTGACAACAGTGACAGCACTGACAAGAGCGACAACAGTGACAACAGTGACAACGGTGACAACAGTGACAACGGTGACAACAGTGACAACAGCAACAACGGTGAAAAGGGTCACAACAGCGACAAAAGTGGCAAGAGTGACAACAGTGAAAAGAGTGACAACGGTGACAACGGCGACAACAGCGACAACGGCCACAACAGCGAAAACACTGAAAACAGTGACAGCAGTGACAACACCGACAAGGGTGACAATAGCAAAAAGAGTGACAACTGCAAAAACCGTCACAACCAACACAACAGCGACAACACTGACAACAGTGACAACGGTGACAACAACAACAACAGTGACAATGGTGACAACAGCCACAACAGTGACAATGGTAACAACAGTGACAATAGTGACAACAGTGACAACATTGACAACACCGACAACAGTGACAACAGCGACAACGGTAACAATGGTGACAACGGTGATAACCGAGACAACAGTGAGAACGGTGACAACGGTGACAACAGTGACAACAGAGACAAGAGTGACAATGGTGACAACAGTGACAACAGACACAAGAGTGACAAGAGTGACAACGTTAAAAACGGTAACAACAGTGACAACAGCAACAACGGTGACAACGGTCACAACAGCAACCACAGTGACAAGAGTGACAACAGTGACAAGAGCGACAACAGTGAAAATGGCGACAACAGTGACAACACTGACAACAGCGACAACAGTGACAACAGCGACAACAGTGACAACGACGACAACAGTAACAGTGACAACAGTGAAAGCAGCGATAAAAGTGACAACAGGGAAAGGAGTGACCACTGCAACAACAATGACAACCGTCACAACAGCGACAACAGTGAAAACGGTGACAAAAGTGACAACAGTGACCTCAGTGACAACGGTGACAACAGCAACAAGAGTGACAACAGTGACACCAGTGACAACAGTGACAGCAGTGACAAGGGTGACAATGGTAACAACGGTGACAACGGCAACAACAATGACAACAGCGACAACAGTAACAACAGTGACAATGGTGAGAAAAGCGACAACAGCGACAAGAGTGACAACAGCGACAATGGTGACAACCGCGACAACAGTAGAGTAAGAAGAGTGACAATGGTGACAACGGTGAGAACAGTGACAACAGCGACAACGGTGACAACAGTGACAACAGCGACAACAGTGCAAACGGTGGCAACAGTAACAACAGAGACAACGGTCACAACAGCAACAACAGTCAAAACAGACAAAACAGTGACAACAGTGAATACAGCAATGAGTGACAACAGCGACAACAGTGACAATAATGACAACAGCAACAACAGTCACAACAGCAAGAACAGTGACAAAAGTGACAACAGCGACAACAGTGACAACACTGACAACAGCGACAACCGCGACAACGGTGACAAAAGCGACAACAGTCACAATAGTGACAGTAGTGAAAACAGTAAAAACGGTGACAACAGTGACAACAGCAACAATGGTGACAACAGCGGTAATAGTGACACAGGGGACAATTGTGACAACAGCGAGCACAGCGACCACGGTGACAACGGTGGCAACAGTGACAACAGTGACAACACTTACAACAGCGACAACGGTGAGAACGGGCAACATCGGTGACAATGGTGAAAACAGCAACAACCGTGACAACAGTGACAGCACTGACAAGAGCGACAACAGTGACAACAGTGACAACGGTGACAACAGTGACAACGGTGACAACAGTGACAACAGCAACAACGGTGAAAAGGGTCACAACAGCGACAAAAGTGGCAAGAGTGACAACAGTGAAAAGAGTGACAACGGTGACAACGGCGACAACAGTGACAACGGCGACAACAGCGACAACAGTGAAAACAGTGACAGCAGACAAGGGTGACAAGGGTGACAATAGGAACAAGAGTGACAAATGCAACAACTGTCACAACCAACACAACAGCGACAACAGTGACAACAGTGACAACGGTGACAACAACAACAACAGTGACAATGGTGACAACAGCCACAACAGTGACAATGGTAACAACAGTGACAATAGTGAACACAGTGACAAAAGTGACAACGGTGACAACATTGACAACACCGACAAAAGTGACAACAGCGACAACGGTGATAACCGTGACAAGAGTGAGAACGGTGACAACCGTGACAACAGTGACAACAGAGACAAGAGTGACAATGGTGACAACATGACAACAGACACAAGAGTGACAAGAGTGACAACGTTAAAAACGGTAACAACAGTGACAACAGCAACAACGGTCACAACAGCAACCACAGTGACAAGAGTGACAACAGTGACAAGAGCGACAACGGTGAAAACGGCGACAAAAGCAACAGTGACAACAGTGACAACAGTGACAGCAGCGATAAAAGTGACAACAGGGACAAGAGTGACCACTGCAACAACCGTGACAACCGTCACAACAGCGACAACAGTGACAACGGTGACTGAAGTGACAACAGTGACCACCGTGACAACAGCAACAAGAGTGACAACCGCAACAAGAGTGACAACAGTGACACCAGTGACAACAGTGACAACAGTGACAAGAGTGACAATGGTAACAACGGTGACAACAGCAACAACAGTGAGAACAGCAACAACAGTGACAATAGTGACAATGGTGAGAACAGCGACAACAGCGACAACAATGACAACAGCGACAATGGTGACAACCATGACAACAGCAAGAACAGTGACAGAAAAGACAGCAGTGGCAACAGTGACAACAGTGAAAGCAGTGACAACAGTGACAAGAGTGACAACAGTGACAACGGTGACAACAGTGAAAAAAGCGACAAAAGTGACAACAGTCACAACATTAACAACAGTAAAAACAGTGAGAAGAGCAACAACGGTGAAAATGGTCACAACAGCGAGAACATTGACAACAGTGACAACGGTGACAACAGCGACAACGGTGACAACGGCGACAACAGTAACAACAGTGACAACGGCGACAAAAGCGACAACAGTGACAAAAGTGAGAACAGCGATAAGAGGGACAAAAGGGACAACAGTGACAACAGCGACAACAGTGACAACGGTGACAAAAGCGACAACTGTGGCCACAGTGAGAACAGCGACAAAGGTGACAACGGTGACAATAGTGAAAACAGTGACAATAGTGACAACAGTGACAACAGCGTCAACACTGACAACAGCCACAACAGTGACAACGATGACAATGGTGACAAAGGTGACAACAGCGTCAACGGTGATAACCGTGACTACAGTGACAACAGTGACAACAGCGACAGCAGTGACATCAGTGACAACAGTAACAACAGTGACAATAGTGACAGAAGTAACAACAACGACAACGGTGACAATGGTGACAACAGTGAAACCAGTGACAAGAGCGACAACAGTGACAACAATGACAACGTTGACAAGGGCGACAATAGTGACAACGTTGACACCAGTGAAAATGGTGACAACAATGACAGAAGTGACAGCGGTCACAACGGTGACAACAGCGACAACAGAGACAACAGTGACAACAGCCCCAACAGTGACAACAGTAAGAAAGATGACAACAGTGACAACAGTCACAACAGTGACAACAATAAAAGCAGCGATAACAGTGACACAGCGAGAACAGTGACAACAGCAACAACAGTAAAAACAGTGAGAAAAACGACAACACTGACAACAGTGACAAGATAGACAACGGCGACAACAATCACAACAGCGACGACGGTGAAAAGGGTAACAACAGCGACAACAGTAGAAATAGAGAAAACAGTGACAACGATGACAACAACGACTAGAGGAACAACAGCAACAACAGTGACAACGGCGACAACAGTGACAACGCTGACAACGGTGACCACAGCGATAAAAAGTGGTGACAACGGTGAGAACAGCGACAACAGTGACAACAGTGACAAAAGTGACAACACCGACAAGAGAGACAACAGCGACAACGGTGACAACGGAGAAAAAAAAGACAAAAGTGACAACAGTGACAACGTTGAAAACGGTGACGACAGTGACAACAGTGACACCAGTGCAACGGTGAAACCAGCGACAACAGTGACAACAGTGACAATAGTGACAACGGTGAAAACGGTGACAACAGTGACAGCAGTGACAACAGCCACAACAGTGACAACGGTGGCAACAGCGACAGCTCTAACAACAGCGAAAACGGTGAAAACAGTGACAACGCAGACAACAGTGAAAACAGCAACAACGGTGACAACGGTAACAACATTGACTACAGTGACAACAGTAACAAACGTGACAACAGTGACAACGGTGACAACTGCGACAACGGCGACAACAGGGAAAACAGCGACAACGGCGACAACAGGAAAAACAGCGACAAAAGTGACAACAGTGACAACACCGACAAGAGTGACAACAGTGAGAATGATGCCAACAGCGACAACGGTGACAACACCGACAACAAGGACAACGGCGACAACAGTGACAACAGCGACATCAGCGACAACAGGGACAACAGCGAAAACACTGACAACAGTGAGAACGGTGACAACAGTGACAACGGTGACAACAGCAACAACAGTGACAACAGCGACAACAGTGACAACAGCGACAACAGCGACAACAGTGACAACAGCGACAGCAGTGACAACAGCCACAACAGTGACAACAGTGACAAAGGTGAGAACAGCGACAACGGCGACAACAGTGACAACAGCGATAACAGTGACAACAACAACAACAGTGAAAACAGTGACAACATCGACAACACTGACAACAGTGACAAGAGAGACAACGGCGACAACAATCACAACAGCGACAACGGTGAAAACGGTAACAACAGCGACAACAGTGAAAACGGTGACAACAGCGACTACAGGAACAACAGCATCAACAGTGACAATGGCGACAACAGTGACAACGGTGACCACAGCGACAAAAGTAACAGCAGTGGTAGCAGTGACACCAGTGACAACAGTAACAACATTGACAACAGTGAGAACAGTGACACCAGAAAGGACAGCGACAACAGTGAGAACAGTGAAAAAAGTGACAACACCGACAAGAGAGACAAGAGCGGCAACGGCGACAAGAGCGACAACGGTGACAACGGTGCCAAAAGCGACAACAGTCACAGCAGTGAAAACAGTGACAACAGTGACAACGGTGACAATGGTGACAACAGTGACAACAACGACAAAAGTGACAACAGCAAGAACGGTGAAAACAGCGACAACGGGGACAACAGTGACAACGGAAACAACACTGACAATGATGACCACAGTGACAACGGTGACAGCAGTGACAACAGCCACAACAGTGACAACGGTGAAAACGGTGACAACAATGACAACAGTAACAACAGCGAAAACGGTGACAACAGTGACAATTGCGAGAATGGTGACAACGGTGACAATAGTGACAACAGTGAGAGCAGTGACAACAGTGACAATTGCAAGAATGGTGACAACGGTGACAATAGTGACAACAGTGAGAGCAGTGACACCAGTGACAACGGTGACAACGGTGACAACAGTGACAATGGTGACAACAGTGACAACAACGACAAAAGTGACAACAGCGAGAACGGTGACAACAGCGACAACGGTGACAACAGTGACAACCGAGACAACGGTGACAATAGTGACAACAGGGACAACGATGACAATGGTGAAAAAAGTGAGAACAGTCACAGCAGTGACAAGAGCCACAACAGTGGCAACAGTGACAACCCTGAGAACAGTGACAACAGTGACAAAAGCCACAACAGTTACAACAATGATAACAGTGACAATAGTGACATCGGTGACAACAGTGAAAACAGTGACAACAGCAACAATGGTAACAACGGTGGCAACAGTGACAGCAGTGACAACAGCCACAACACTGACAACAGTGACAACAGTGACAACAATGACAACGGTGACAACAGTGACAACAGCGACAACGGTGACAACAGTGACAACGGTGACAACAGTGACAACAGAAACAACAGTCACAACGGTGACAACAGTGACAACGGTGAGAGGAGTGACAACAGCCACAACAGTGACAACAGTGACAACGGTGACAACAGTGACAATTGCGACAACGGTGACAACAGTGAGAATTGCGACAACGGTGACAACAGTGACAACAGTGACAACAGGGACAACGATGACAACGGTGACAATAGTGACAACAGCCACAGCAGTGGCAACAGTGACAACGGTGACAACAGTGACAAAAGCCAAAACAGTTACAACAATGATAACAGTGAGAATAGTGACAACGGTGACAATGGTGAGAAAAGTAAAAACAGTGACAACAGCGACAATGGTGACAACGGTGACAACTGTGACAGCAGTGACAACAGCCACAACACTGACAACAGTGACAACGGTGACAACAGTGACAACAGAACAACAGTAAGAACAGCGACAACGGTGACAACAGTGACAACGGTGACAACCGGGACAACAGCGACAACGGTGACAACAGTGACAACAGTGACAACAGTGACAACCGTGACAATGGTGACAGCAGTGACAACAGTGACAGCAGTGACAACGGTGAGAACAGTGACAATTGGGACAATGTTGACAACAGTGACAACAGTAACAACAGTGACAACAGTAACAACAGTGACAACAGTCTCAACAGTGACAACGGTGACAACAGTGACAACGGTGACAGCAGTGACAACAGCCACAACAGTGACACCAGTGAAAACGGTGAAAACGGTGACAACAGCGACAACAGTGACAACAGTGACAATGGTGACAACAGTGACAAAGGTGACAAAAGTGAGAACCGCGACAACGGTGACAACAGTGACAACAGCGACAACGATGACAACAGTGACAACAGCCACACCAGTGACAACAGCCACAACAGTGACAAAAATGACAACAGTGAAAATAGTGATAAGGGTGACAACAGTAAGAACCGTAAAAACAGTGACAACAGCGACAACGGTGACAACAGTGACAATAGTGACAATGGTGACAACAGTAAGAACCGTAAAAACAGTGACAACAGTGACAACGGCGACAATAGTGACAACAGTGAAAACAGTGACAGCCGTGACAACAGCCACAACACTGAAAACAGTGACAACGGTGACAACAGTGACAGCGGTGGCAACAGTGAGAAAAGCGACAACAGTGAAAACAGCGACAACGGTGACAAGAGCGACAACGGTGAAAACAGTGACAGCGGTGAGAACAGTGACAACAGTGACAACGGTGACAGCAATGACAACAGCCACAACAGTGACAACAGTAACAACGGTGAGAACAGTAACAACCGCGACAACGGTGACAACAGTGACAAAAGAGACAACAGTGACAACAGCGACAACGATGACAATGGTGACAAGACTGACAACAGCCACAAAAGTGACAATAATGACAACAGTGACAATAGTGACAACGGTGACAACAGTGACAACCGTGACAACAGCGACAACGGTGACAAGTGTGACATCAGTGACAACACCCACAACACTCACAACAGTGACAACGGTGACAATGGTGACAACAGTGAGAACAGAGACAACAGTGACAACCTCGACAACGATGATAACGGTGAACACTGTGACAACCGCCACAGCAGTAACAACAGCCACAACAGTGACAACAATGAGAACAGCCACAACAGTGACAACAATGACAACAGGACACTGGTGACAACGGTGACAACAGTGAAAACAGTGACAACAGACACAACGGTGACAAAAGTGACAACAGTGACAACAGTGACAGCAGTGACAACAGCCACAACACTGACAACAGTGACAATGGTGACAACGGTGACAACAGTGACAAGGGTGACAATGGTTGCAACAGTGAAAACAGCGACAACAGTGACAACGGTGAAGACAGCGACAATGGCGTCAACAGTGACAACGGTGACAACAGTGACAACGGTGACAGCGGTGACAACAGCCACAACAGTGACAACGGTGACAACAACGACAACAGTGTCAAAAGCGACAACGGTGACAACAGTGACAATTGCGACAATGGTGACCACCGTGACAACAGTGACAACAATGACAACAATGACAACAGCCACAACAGTGAGAACAGTGACAGCAGTCACAACAGCCACAACAGTGACAACAGTGACAATGGGTAACAACAGCGACAACAGTGAGAACAGCGACAACGGTGACAACGGTGACAACAGTGTCAACGCTGACAACAGTAAAAACAGTGACAACAGCGACAACGATGACAACGGTGACAACAGTGACAACAGCCACAGCAGTGACAACAACCAAAACAGTTACAACAGTGACAACGGTGACAACGGTGACATTAGCCACAACAGTGACAACAACGACAACAGTCACATTAGTGACAACGGTGACAACGGTGACAACGGTGACAACAGTGACAACCGTTAAAACAATGACAACAGCGACAATGGTGACAACAGTGACAACAGTGACAACAGTGACAACAGCGACAACAGTCACAACAGCGACAACGGAGACAACAGTGACAACGGTGACAGCAGTGACAACAGCCACAACAGTGACAACAGTGATAACAGTGACAACAAGAACAGTAACAACACCGACAACGGTGACAACAGTGGCAAAGGTGACAACCGTGACAACAGTGACAACGGTGAGAACAGTAAAACCAGAGACAGCAGTGACAACAGCCACAATAGTGACAACAGCCACAACAGTGACAACGGTGACAATGGTGACAACGGTGAGAATGGTGACCACACCGACAACAGGGACAACAGTGACAGCAGTGACAACAGTCACAACGGTGACAACAGTAAAACAAGTGACAGGAATGACAACAGCCACAACAGTGACAACAATGACAACAGTGACAACAGTGACAACGGTGACAACAGTGACAACAGTGACAAAAGCCACAACAGTGACAACGGTGACAACAGTGACAACGGTGACAACGGGGACAACAGTGACAACAGCCACAACAGTGACAACAGCGACAACAGTGACAACAGTGACAAGAGTGACAACAGCCACAACAGTGACAACAGGGACAACAGTGACAAAAGCCACAACGGTGAAAACAGTGACAACGGTGACAATGGTGATAACAGTAAAAACGGTGACAACAGTGACAACAGCGACAACGGTGACAACAGTGACCACAGTGACAGCAGTGACAACAGCCACAATAGTTACAACAGTGACAACATTGACAACAGTGACAATAGTGACAAGGGTGACAACAGTGAAAACTGTGAAAACTGTAACAACAGTGACAAGAGTGACAGCAGTGAAAACAGCCACAACACTGACAACCGTGAAAATGGTGACAACAGTGACAACAGTGAGAACAGCGACAAGAGTGACAACAGTGAGAACGGTGACAACAGTGACAATGGTGAAAACGTTGACAGCAGTGACAACAGCCACAACAGTGACAATTGTGACGACAGTTACAACAATGACAACAGCGACAAGAGTGACAACAGTGACAACGGTAACAACAATGACAACAGTGACAACGGTGACAACAGTAACAACTGCGACAACAGTGACAACAGTGACAACAGCGACAACGATGACAATGGTGACAACAGTGAAAACAGCCACAGCAGTGACAACAGCCACAACAGTGACAACAGTGACAACGGTGACAACGGTGACATTAACGACAACAGTGACAACAGCGACAACGGTGACAATAGTGACAACAATGACAACAATGACAACAGTGACAACGGTGACAACAGTAACAACCGCGACAACGGTGAACACAGTGACAAAAGTGACAACAGCGACAACCGTGACAACACTGACAAGAGTGACAGCAGTGACAACAGCCACAACAGTTACAAAAGTGACAACAATGACAACAGTGACAATAGTAACAATACAAAAGTGACAACGGTGACAACAGCGACAACAGCGACAACAGTCACAACAGCCACAACGGTGACAAAAGCGACAACGGTGACAAAAGTGACAACGATGACCACAGTGACAAGAGTGACAACGGTGACAACAGTGACAACATTGACAACAGTGACAAGAGTGACAACAGTGACAGCAGTGACAACAGCCAAAACAGTGACCACAGTGACAACGGTGACAGCAGTGACAACGGTACCAACAGTGACAACAGCGCCAACGGTTACAAGAGTGACAACAGTGACAACAGTAAAAGCAGTGACAACAGTCACAACAGTGACAACAGCGACAAAGGTGACAACAGTGAAACCAGTGAATACAGTGACAACAGCCACAACAGTGACAACAACGACAACAGTGACAATAGCGACAACGGTGACAACGGTGACAAGAGTGACAACGGTGACAACAGTGACAGCAGTGACAACAGCCACAACAGTGACAACAGTGACAACGGTGACAACAGAAACAACGGTGAAAACAGTGATAACAGTGACAATGGTGACAACAGTGAAAACCGCGACAACAGTGACAACAGTAACAATGGTGACAACAGTGACAAGAGTGACAACAGCGACAACGGTGACAACAGTAACAAGAGTGACAGCAGTAACAGCAGTGAGAAGAGCCACAACAGTGACAACAGTGACAACAGTGACAACAGTGGCAAGAGCCACAAAAGTGACAAGAATGACAATAGTGACAAGGATGACAACAGAGACAACCGTGAAAACAGTGACAACAGCGACAACGGTGACAACACTGACAACAGTGAAAACAGCCACAACACTGACAACAGTGACAACAATGAGAACAGTGACTACAGTAACAACAGTGACAACAGCGAGAACGGTGACAACAACGACAACAGTGACAACAGCGACAATGGCGACAATACTGACAACGGTGACAAAGGTGACAGCAGTGACAACAGCCACAACAGTGACAACAGTGACAACGGTGACAACAACGACAACAGTGACAACAGTGACAATAGTGACAAGGATGACAACAGTGACAACCGTGAAAACAGTGACAACAGTCACAGCAGTGAGAACAGCCACAATACTGACAACAGTGACAACAGTGACAACAGTGACAACAGCGACAACACCGACAACAGCGACAACGGTGACAACGGCGACAATGGTGACAACACTGGCAACGGTGAAAACAGTGACAATGGTGACAGCAGTGACAACAGCCATAAAAGAGACAACAGTGACAACGGTGACAACAGTGACAGCAGTGACAACAGTCACAACAGTGACTACAGTGACAACGGTGACAACATTGAAACCAGTGACAAAAGCGTTAACGGTGATAACAGTGACAACAGTGACAACAGTGACAACAGCCACAACAGTGACAACAGTGAGAACGGTGACAGCAGTGACAACAGCCACAACAGTGACAACGGTGACAACGGTGACAACAGCGACAACAGTGACAACAGCGACAACGGTGACAACAGTGACAACAGTGACAAGTGACAAAGGTGACAACCGTGACATCGGTGACAACAGCCACAACGATGACAATGGTGACAACAGCCACAGCAGTGACAACAGCCACAACAGTGACAATGCTGACAACAGTGACAACGGTGACAACAGCCACAACAGTGACAACAATGAAAACAGTGGCATAAATGACAACGGTGACAACAGTGACAACCGTGAAAACAATGACAACACAGACAATGGTGACAAGCGTGACAATCGTGACAACGGTGGCAGCAGTGACAACAGCCACAACACTGAAAACAGTGACAACGGTGACAACAGTGACAATGGTGACAACAGCGACAAGGGTAACAATAGTGACAACGGTGACAACAGTGAAAATGGTGACAACGGTGACAACGTTGACAGCAGTGACAACAGCCACAACAGTGACAACAGTGATAACGGTGAGAACAACGACAACAGTGACAACAGCGACAACGGTGACAATGGTGACAACGGTGAAAACAGTGACAACAGCGACAACAGTGACAACGGTGACAACAGTGACAACCGCGACAACGGTCACAACAGTGAAAAAAGTGACAACGGTGACAACAGTGACAAAAGCCACAGCAGTGACGACAGCCACAACATTGACAACAAAGACAACGGTGACAACAGTGACAACAGCTACAACAGTGAGAACAATGACCACAGTGACAACAGTGACAATAGTGACAACAGTGACAACAGTGACAACAGTGACAACAGTAACAACTGTGACATTCGTAACAACAGTGACAAAAGTGACAACAGTGACAAAAGTGACAACAGTGACAACAGCGACAACGATGACAACGGTAACATTAGTGACAACAGCCACAGCAGTAACAACAGCCACAACTGTGACAAAAGTGACAACAGCCACAACAGTGACAACAATGACAATAGTGATAATAGTGACAACAGTGACAACCGTGAAAACAGTGACAACAGCAACAACGGTGACAACGGTGACAAAAGTGACAGCAGTGACAAGAGCCACAACACTGACAACAGTGACAACAGTGACAACAGTGACAACAGTTACAAAAGCAACAACAGTAAAATCGGTGACAACAGCGACAACGGTGACAACTGTAACAACAGTGACAACGGTGACAAAAGTGACAACGGCGACAACGGTGACAACAGTGAAAACAGTGACAACAGTGACAGCAGTGACAAGAGCCACAACAGTGACAACGGTGACAGCAGTGACAACAGCCACAACAGAGACACCAGTGACAACGGTGACAAAGGTGAGAACAGCAACAACAGCGACAATGTTGACAACAGTGACAATGGTGACAACAGTTACAACAGTGACAACGGTGACAACAGCGACAACGGTGACAACAGTGACAGCAGAGACAACAGCCACAAAAGTGAGAACAGTGACACTAGTGACAACGGCGACAACAGTGACAACAGCGACAACGGTGACAACAGTGACAATGGGGACAACAGTTACAACAGTGACAACGGTGACAACAGTGACAACCGCGACTACGGTGACAACAGTGACAACAGTGACAACAGCGACAACGATGAAAACGGTGAAAACAGCCACAGCAGTGACAACAGCCACAACTGCGACAACAGTGACAATGGTGACAACAGTGACAACAGTGACAACAGCCACAACAGTGACAACAATGACAACAGTGGCAATAGTGACAATGGTGACACCGGTGACAACAGTAACAAGCGTTAAAACAGTGACAACAGCGAGAACGGTGACAACGGTGACAACAGTGACAACAGTGACAGCAGTGACAACAGCCACAACATTGACAACAGTGACAACGGTGACAACAGTGAGAACAGCGACAACAGTGACAACAGTGACAACGGTGACAATGGTGACAACGGTGAAAACAGTGACAACAGCGACAACAGTGACAACGGTGACAACCGCGACAACGGTCACAACAGTGAAAAAAGTGACAACGGTGACAACAGTGACAAAAGCCACAGCAGTGACGACAGCCACAACATTGACAACAAAGACAACGGTGACAACAGTGACAACAGCTACAACAGTGAGAACAATGACAACAGTGACAACAGTGAGAATAGTGACAACAGTGACAACAGTGACAACAGTGACAATAGTGACAACAGTAACAACTGTGACATTCGTAACAACAGTGACAAAAGTGACAACAGTGACAACAGCGACAACGATGGCAACGGTAACATTAGTGACAACAGCCACAGCAGTGACAACAGCCACAACTGTGACAAAAGTGACAACAGCCACAACAGTGACAACAATGACAATAGTGATAATAGTGACAACAGTGACAACCGTGAAAACAGTGACAACAGCAACAACGGTGACAACGGTGACAAAAGTGACAGCAGTGACAAGAGCCACAACACTGACAACAGTGATAACAGTGACAACAGTGACAAAAGCGACAACAGTGAAATCGGTGACAACAGCGACAACGGTGACAACTGTAACAACAGTGACAACGGTGAGAAAAGTGACAACGGCGACAACGGTGACAACAGTGAAAACAGTGACAACAGTGACAGCAGTGACAAGAGCCACAACAGTGACAACGGTGACAGCAGTGACAACAGCCACAACAGAGACACCAGTGACAACGGTGACAAAGGTGACAACAGCAACAACAGCGACAATGTTGACAACAGTGACAATGGTGACAACAGTTACAACAGTGACAACGGTGACAACAGTGACAACAGCGACAACGGTGACAAAGGTGACAACAGTGACAGCAGAGACAACAGCCACAAAAGTGAGAACAGTGACACTAGTGACAACGGCGACAACAGTGACAACAGCGACAACGGTGACAACAGTGACAATGGGGACAACAGTTACAACAGTGACAAGGGTGACAACAGTGACAACCGCGACTACGGTGACAACAGTGACAACAGTGACAACAGCGACTACGATGAAAACGGTGAAAACAGCCACAGCAGTGACAACAGCCACAACTGCGACAACAGTGACAATGGTGACAACAGTGACAACAGTGACAACAGCCACAACAGTGACAACAATGACAACAGTGCCAATAGTGACAACGGTGACACCGGTGACAACAGTGACAACTGTGAAAACAGTGACAACAGCGAGAACGGTGACAACGGTGACAACAGTGACAACAGTGACAGCAGTGACAACAGCCACAACAGTGACAACAGTGACAACGGTGACAACGGTGACAACAGTGAGAACAGCGACAACAGTGACAACAGCGACAACGGTGACAACAGTGACAACGGTGAAAGCAGTGACAGCAGTGAAAACAGCCACAACAGTGACAACGGTGACAACAGTGACAGCAGTGACAACAGCCACAACAGTGACAACATTGACAACAGTGGCAATAGTGACAATGGTGACAACAGTGACAACCGTGAAAAGAGTCACAACAGCGACAACGGTCACAACGGTGACAACAGTGACAACAGTGACAGCAGTAACAACAACCATATCAATGACAACAGTGACAACGGAGACAACGGTGACAACCGTGACAACAGCGACAACAGTGACAACAGCGACAACGGTGACAACAGTGACAACAGTCACAACAGCGACAAGGGTGACAACAGTGAGAACAGTGACAACAGTGACAGCAGTGACAACAGCCACAACAGTGACAACGGTGACAGCAGTGACAACAGGCACAACAGAGACACCAGTGACAATGGTGACAACAGCAACAACAGCGACAATGGTGACAACAGTGACAATGGTGATAACAGTTACAACAGTGACAACGGTGACAACAGTGACAACAGCGACAACGGTGACAACAGTGACAACAGTGACAACAGTGACAGTAGTTACAACAGCCACAAAAGTGACAACTGTGAGAGCAGTGACAACAGCCACAACAGTGACACCAGTGACAACGGTGACAACGGCGACAACAGTGACAACAGCGATAACGGTGACCACAGTGATAATGGTGACAACAGTTACAACAGTGATAACGGTGACAACAGTGACAACCGCGACAACGGTGACAACAGTCACAACAGTGACAACAGCGACAACGGTGACAACAGTGACAACAGCGACAACTGTGACAACAGTGACAACGGTGACAACAGTGACAACAGTGACAACAGCCACAACAGTGACAACAATGACAACAGTCCCAATAGTGACAATGGTGACAACAGTGACAACCGTGAAAACAGTGACAATAGCGAGAACGGTGACAACGGTGACAACAGTGAAAATAGTGACAACAGTGACAACAGTGACAACAGCCACAACATTGACAACAGTGACAACAGTGACAACGGTGACAACAGTGACAACAGCGACAACAGTGACAACAGCGACAAACGTGACAACAGTGACAACAGTGACAACAGTGACAGCAGTGACAACAGCCACAACAGTGACAACGGTGACAACAGTGACAGCAGTGACAACAGCCACAACAGTGACAACATTGGCAACCGTGGGAATAGTGACAACGGTGACAACAGTGACAACCGTGAAAAGAATCACAACAGCGACAACGGTCACAACGGTGACAACAGTGACAACAGTGACAGCAGTAACAACAACCATATCAATGACAACAGTGACAATGGAGACAAAGGTGACAACCGTGACAAGAGCGACAACAGTGACAACAGCGACAATGCTGACAACAGTGACAACAGTGACAACAACGACAACGGTGACAACAGTGACAACAGTGACAGCAGTGACAAGAGCCAGAATAGTGACAACAGTGGCAGCAGTGACAACAGCCACAACAGAGACACCAGTGAAAACGGTGACAAAGGTGACAACAGCAACAACAGCGACAATGGTGACAACAGTGACAATGGTGACAACAGTTACAACAGTGAGAACGGTGACAACAGTGACAACAGCGATAACGGCGACAACAGTGACAACAGTGACAGCAGTGACAGCAGTGACAACAGCCACAAAAGTGACAACTGTGAGAGCAGTGACAACAGCCACAACAGTGACACCAGTGACAACGGTGACAACGGCGACAACAGTGACAACAGCGATAACGGTGACCACAGTGATAATGGTGACAACAGTTACAACAGTGATAACGGTGACAACAGTGACAACCGCGACAACGGTGACAACAGTCACAACAGTGACAACAGCGACAACGGTGACAACAGTGACAACAGCGACAACTGTGACAACAGTGACAACGGTGACAACAGTGACAACAGTGACAACAGCCACAACAGTGACAACAATGACAACAGTCCCAATAGTGACAATGGTGACAACAGTGACAACCGTGAAAACAGTGACAATAGCGAGAACGGTGACAACGGTGACAACAGTGAAAATAGTGACAACAGTGACAGCAGTGATAACAGCCACAACATTGACAACAGTGACAACGGTGACAACGGTGACAACAGTGAGAACAGCGACAACAGTGACAACAGCGACAAACGTGACAACAGTGACAACAGTGACAACAGTGACAGCAGTGACAACAGCCACAACAGTGACAACGGTGACAACAGTGACAGCAGTGACAACAGCCACAACAGTGACAACATTGGCAACCGTGGCAATAGTGACAACGGTGACAACAGTGACAACCGTGAAAAGAATCACAACAGCGACAACGGTCACAACGGTGACAACAGTGACAACAGTGACAGCAGTAACAACAACCATATCAATGACAACAGTGACAATGGAGACAAAGGTGACAACCGTGACAAGAGCGACTACAGTGACAACAGCGACAATGCTGACAACAGTGACAACAGTGACAACAACGACAACGGTGACAACAGTGACAACAGTGACAGCAGTGACAAGAGCCAGAATAGTGACAACAGTGGCAGCAGTGACAACAGCCACAACAGAGACACCAGTGAAAACGGTGACAAAGGTGACAACAGCAACAACAGCGACAATGGTGACAACAGTGACAATGGTGACAACAGTTACAACAGTGACAACGGTGACAACAGTGACAACAGCGATAACGGCGACAACAGTGACAACAGTGACAGCAGTGACAGCAGTGACAACAGCCACAAAAGTGACAACTGTGAGAGCAGTGACAACAGCCACAACACTGACACCAGTGACAACGGTGACAACGGCGACAACAGTGACAACAGCGACAAAGGTGACAACAGTGACAATGGTGACAACAGTTACAACAGTGACAACAGTGACAATAGTGACAACAGTGACAACACTGACAACGGTGACAACAGCGACAACAGCATCAACGGTGACAACAGTGACAACAGTGACAGCAGTGACAACAGCCACAACAGTGACAACGGTGGCAACAGTGACAGCAGTGACAACAGCCATAAAAGTGCCAACAATGTCAACATTGACAATAGTGAAAACGGTGACAACAGTGACAACGGTGAGAATAGTGACAACAGTGACAGCAGTGAGAAGAGCCACAACAGCGACAACGGTGACAACAGTGACAGCAGTGACAACAGCCAACAATGACAACAGTGACAATAGCGAAAACGGTGACAACAGTGACAATGGTGAGAACAGTGAGAACAGTGACAGCAGTGAGAAGAGCCACAACAGTGACAACAGTGACAACGGTGACAACGGCGACAACAGTGAGAACAGTGACAACAGGGACAACGGTGACAACAGTGACAACAGTGACAGCAGTGACAACAGCCACAAAAAAGACAACTGTGAGAGCAGTGACAACAGCCTCAACAGTGACACTAGTGACAACAGCGACAACAGCGAGAACGGTGACAAAAGTGACAGCAGTGACAACAGCCACAATAGTGACAACGGTGACAACAGTGACAGCAGTGACAACAGCCATAAAAGTGCCAACAATGACAACATTGACAATAGTGAAAATGGTGACAACGGTGAGAACAGTGACAACAGTGACAGCAGTGAGATGAGCGACAACAGCGACAACGGTGACAACAGTGACAGCAGTGACAACAGCCAACAATGACAACAGTGACAATAGTGAAAACGGTGACAACAGTGACAACGGTGAGAACAGTGACAACAGTGACAGCAGTGAGAAGAGCCACAACAGTGACAACAGTGACAACGGCGACAACGGTGACAGCATTGAGAACAGTGACAACAGCGACAACGGTGACAACAGTGACAACAGTGACAGCAGTGACAACAGTGAGAGCAGTGACAACAGCCACAACAGTGACACCAGTGACAATGGTGACAACGGTGACAACAGCGACAACGATGACAACGGTGACAACAGTGACAACAGCCACAGCAGTGACAACAGCCACAACTGTGACAACAGTGACAACAGCCACAATAGTGACAATAATGACAACAGTGACAATAGTGACAACGGTGACAACAGTGACAACAGTGAAAACAGTGACAACAGCGAGAACGGTGACAACGGTGACAACAGTGACAACAGTGACAGCAGTGACAACAGCCACAAGATTGACAACAGTGACAACGGTGACAACAGTGAGAACAGCGACAACAGTGAGAACAGCGACAACGGTGACAACAGTGACAATGGTGACAACAGTGACAATGGTGACAACAGTGACAACATCGACAACGGTGACAACAGTAACAAGGGTGACAACGGTGACAACGGTGACAACAGTGACAACAGCGACAACGGTGACAACGGTGACAACAATGACAGCAGTGACAACAGCCACAACAGTGACAACAGTGACAAGGGTGACAAGGGTGACAACAGTGACAGCAGTGACAACAGCCACAACAGTGACAACAATGACAACAGTGACAATAGTGACAACGGTGACAACAGCGACAACAGTGACATCAGTGACAACAGCGAGGAAAGAAGGCCAGTATGGCTTTGCTCGGAGGTGTCAATTGCACTGGATATCCAGTGTGAGTAGCCAATTAAGAAGAACTTAAAAAAAGTAATACTGTTTTTAGAGTTCACAGAAGATTTAGAAAGGGGAAGCAAACGTTATGGTATATTCTTACAATACGAAGTGTACAACACTTTAATAGGAGAGGTCGGGTATGGCTAGGATGATTGACATTATGCAAAACAATGGACGACTATATAGCTTACCCAATCCTGATTTTCAACATCCCTTCAAAAACGTGAGGAATTGTGGCAACAAAAGAGGCCAAATAGAGAACCATCTGTGGAAAAAAATGCAGAAGGGAAAAACGAGCGACTTTACAACGAAAATGATTTCGAACCATTTGACTAACATTTGGAAAATGCCAATTGGAAAATGCCTGGAAATGGTTAGCCTTCACCACAGTAGCCTGGAGTGCAGGCGTTTTCTTTGGGCGCGCAAGTAATTTTGCTCGCGAAAGCGCCATGTTGAAACTTCCTGAAGAGAGGAGGAAATGGGGCGAGTCAAACGGAGCGGGGAGAGAAAAGAGAAAACGGCGTACGTTTTTCCTCTCCTTCGCTCCCCTTCCCCCCTTTCCTCCTTTCGCCCTTGCACCTGCCCTAAGGGTTACTATTTCTACTCTCCCCAATCTTCCACTGACAAAAAATCAAAGATGGGGGCTACAACAATGCAAACACGAACTAGGTTTTGCCCACCCAAAATACGCCTGCACTGCAGGCTAGCACCACAGACGAAACTGAACTCTGGCTGAGTCCGTCTGCGAAACATCGCCGAAATTCTTGATCTAGGACCCCACCTGTGTACCAGGATTTGATTACGCGCCATGATTGGCCTGTTAAAAAAGCCATTGTCGATTTGCAAATCAAGACGAAAGGAAATTCAAGACGCGATTCCGGTAATTGGTTGAGTCCGCTGGGGGCCGAGAACAACGATATCAGCGCTGCTTCGCAGACGTTACTGACCCAGGTTAAATTGCACCTACGACGCAGGCTTGGAACTCTTGGAACTCGGTTTTGCCTCGCGTGACGAGACAAAAAAGGCTGCGTGGAGCTAGGAAATGGAAGGCCAGTTTAAACGGCGTAGTTATTCCATTTGAACTGCCCAATCGAACTTTTTATGAATAGTTTTATTACAAACGGGCACCAATGGTTTCTTAACAGCAACTTTTCCCCAATCCACCCTCCACTCTGCCGTATATCAAAGGTTCAACTATGTGTAAACCGCGTATCTACACGTTGCTGGAAAAGGGAACATTCATCGTCGTCATCATCATCATCACCATCATCTTCATGATCATCACAAATGTAAATAACAGTTTGACAGTATTTGACGGCCATTCTTAAAGATTTATATCCACGTGCCGCATATGGAAGGCACAGCCACGCAGAATTACAAGAATGAGAATAAACTTTTTTTGACACCTCTTAAATTCAAGACCATAGTAAAAAATAAAAACACCAGTAAAGTGTCTTAAAATAACACACTAGTTTTCAGACCTCTTGTTGAAGGACTGCCTCCCGGACGTCATGAGGAGTGCAGAACGAATAAAGGATTTTCTATTGAGAAAAGAGAAGGAGACCGCCATTAATGAACAGGACAGAGCGTTTGTTTTATACCGGTGCTTGGTAAAATGGACTTGGTTGCTATTACTGTCAGTTATTCTTTTACATTGATAAATGAAACTTGGGACACCAAAACCAAAACTGAGCTTTGTTTTGCAAATTAAAATAGGTAACATTGCTAATATTTTCTACTTTTCTTTTTCTCTGTTTGCTTGCTGGATTGTTAAATATCTATTTTTTTCTTTGGACATTCGCAAAAGCCTGTTTGGATCGACTTCTTCTCACTAGAAAAAGAGCGACGCAAGTAGCTAAAGTGTGGCTTTTTCTACAACTCGTGAGTGTAAATGTTCGTGGTACCTATTCTGAGCAAGAACCTAGACTTTAGACAACAAAACTACCTGAATAGCTGCCGGCGTCAGAGGTTCGTAAATCACTTTTTCTTCATGGCCAAACACACCAATAGTTACCTTAAAAGTAAAAGTAAAAACAACTATTTATTAGGCAGCTTATAAGACGGAGCTGAAATACCTTCGCACGCTCCACCCCCCAAAACAAAGGCTAGAAAAAAGGTTAGATAAAGTAACACGTTCTAGCAAAGCATCTTCCCACTTTGCCGCTAACCAGTAAAGTAGTGATCCCGGGAGCTAGACTATCCACCAGTTTCTTTAGCAGTGCGGCACCGCGACGAACCGCTGACCATTTCCTATCATACGCAGCTTGCTGATAAAGGACATTGATCATATCGATAATGGAGCCCTCAGAAGTTTGAAAGTGGTCGCCTTCTCGCTTTAGCAGTTCCTGAAGCAGCAGCAATTGGCGCTCAATACCTGGCTTCTTTGCCAATTCGTTCAGGAGAGCTTCGCGTGACTTGGTTACGAGATCCCTGGGACTGAAAAATGAAACCGGCCAAACCAGACTAAAGCAAACTTTCGGTTAAGTTCATCAAGGAGTTGAGCGGTAAAAAAAAGTACATTTACGGAGTATGTAGTTCCAATTTTTGAGTTTGTGAACGAAATCCTATGATGTTGCCATTCAAATAAAATCTCTTCAGCAGTAATTTCACATGGTACCATTTATTAAGTATGCAGTTCCAACGATTTTTTTTTTGAGTCTGTGGATGAAATCCTATGGTGCTGAAATCCTATGGTGTTACCATTTAGAAAACCTATGGTGTTACCATTTAGAAAAAAACCTCTTCAGCGGTACTTTCACATCGTACTATTTATTTAGTGTGCAATTCTAACTTTTGAGTCTGTGGACGAAATCCTGTGGCGTGACCATTCAAATGGAACCTCTACAGCAGTATTCATCTAATACTTCTTGATTCAGAGCATTAATTTTACAAAATGAAATATGGAAATATTCTTGAATTTTAACTATGCCCAGGGGTTAACGAGGCGGTCGGTTCGGCTGTAGCGATAAGGGGCGTAGACAGCTTTTCGACTAGTTGTGGGCCTGGTTGACTTTCATTTCCACATATCCTGAAAATTGCGCGCTTGACAAGTCTGACCTCACCAACACTTTGACCTGTTAAGCTTTTCAGCTCACCCCAACAAAGCATAATTTATAACAAGCGGTAGAGTGATGGGATATGGGTATCCCTATGGGGATATGATCAATACACTGTTCATGACACTGAAGCTGTCGACCCTACTTTTGTTGATTTCCGTTAGCACTCGCAAACATATGTCCATGGCCGCTCGTGCCATTCTTTCAAATTTCTTTGAAGAACCGTGAACAGAAAACCACCTACAATACCTTTTGGGATCGTCGCGTGCACTTTTTCCGATATGGAAAGTGTTGAAGTAAACACAGTCTTTTTTTATGGGCCTTTATACCTGCTGAGCTAAATTTTTTTTGGTAACTTACTTGGAGTCTTCCTCATCAGACATATGATCATCATCATCTTCAGACACGGTCATGGAGCGGGACAAGCGTACGGGCCGACTCATCCTATGTCCCTCGGAAACACAAGGGCTCTGGGGATTGGAGTCTGGTCCTTCTTTTTCTTTGACACGAACATGGTCCAGACCTCCATCGTTATCATCAAGATCGCTAGAGGGGAGACAAGGAAAATACCTGTATCAGGTTACGTGTATGTTGTGGTTCCATTTTAACCTTGGTCGAACTTATTTACCTTTGCTTTGGGATATGGTTATGAATGAAAATGAGTTTAAAACAAAGAAAAATGACATTTGAACCAAGGATAAAATTGAACCACAACATATACCACAACATCACATTTCGGATGGGTTTCTGCCATTTTTCGTCTTTTGGACTGTGGCGGAAGTTAATGAATGGAGACGAGGACTGGAACCCACTGATACGGACGGAAGTTAATAGTCAGAAATGAGTGCACCGAACCCTTGCGGCCAACCTCTCCGGTGCCGACGATGTTCGACGTGTGCGACTTGTTCCGTTCTGTGTCGTTGCCGTTCGTTCTGTACCGGAAAGCTTTTCCGACGATGTTCGACGTGTACGACTTGTTCCGTTCTGTGTCGTTGCCGTTCGTACTGTCCCGGAACGCTTTTCTTGTCGGAACAGAACTGTAACATGTCGAACTCATCGAACATTGTCGACACCGAAGAGGTTGGCCGCAAGGGTTCCGTACACTCATTTCTGACTATTTACTATACTTCCGCATTAGTAAGTTCCAGTCCTTTTCCCTTCTCACGAGGGACACGCGGGAGACAGGGACACAGGGGACACAAGAGAAAACAGGGGAAACAACAGGACACAAGAGAACACAGGGGACACAAGGGATACAAAGGGACACAAGGAAACACAGGGGACACGAAGGACACAATGGACACAAGGGGACACGGGGGACACAAGGGGACACAAGGGGCACAGGGGGACAGAGGGGACACAAGGGACACAAGGGGACACAGGAGACACAAGGGGACACAAGGGGACACAAGGGGACACAGGGGACATGGAGGACACAAGGGGACACGAGGGGCACAAGGGGACACAGGGGACACGAGGGGGCACAAAGCGACACAGGGGATACGGGGGACACGAGGGACACAAGGGGATACAAGGGGACACAGGGGACACAAGGGGATACAGGGGACACAAGGGACACAAGGGGACTACTTTCGCTACGGTCCGAATGCCTGTTCACACAACGACGAAACGTGGCAGAAACCTATCCACTATGTGACGCTCGACTTTCGAGATCGGCGCGGCGCAGCTTTGCTTCGTTACAAAAATCGCCCCCAAATCACCGTTTTTATGTGTGAACGGAAGATCTTTCTGGTATGGTTTTCGTAGCTGTGCTAGAGGGTTAGAGCTATCCGCAAAAGTGTAATCATAGCCTTAATATCACCGTTTGTATCTTCACGAAGAAAATGCGGCAGGCTCCTGCGCGAAAACAGAAACGGCACGCCCTGTGATTTTCCCCTTTCACCCTCCTTTTTGATCGCCTGCCATAAGGCTATTGTCATGTGGTAAAAAAAGACAAACAACAACAACATTAACAAAAATAATTACATTCAACAAAGAAAAATACCTGAAATAGCGGTCTGTTTGAAGGAAGTCCAAATGATCTATAACTGCCGTTGATATCAAAGTCTGCGTTAGAAAAAAAAACAAAGAAGAAAGAAAGAAACATACTAATGGAATCAAGATAGAGCAGTTTTCACTTGATTGTCGTAAAACCAAAACCAAAGTAAATACACTAGCCAACCAAAGGGCGTAGTAAAACCAAAACCAAAACACGATTTGCGTTTACTTGCGAATTTGATTGGCTAAGAAAACAATGCCTCCTCGCTGATTGGTAGAGCTATTTTAAAGAGCCAATCAGAAAGACGAACCAAAACCAAAACCAAACCAATTCCTCAATTACTTTCGACAGTCAAGTGAAAACCGCTCTATAAATGGATTTAGGGAGTAGGTTTTTTCTTTCCGAAAAAAAAAAAGGCAAATTACCAAAAAGTGAAAAAAGAAAAAAATAACGAAACCGGCAAGTATGGAACAACAACAACAACAACTTTATTCTTTGTATACAGGAGTTGGATAGTTTGCCCCGAAAAGAGTTGGAAAAGTAGTCATGGCGGGGCAAGACAAGAAAATGAATAACTTAATTATCTACTAAAAAATGAAATGGTATACTAAACCCAAGGAAGAGAGCTGATCAAGCGCGTCGGTTATGGACTTGTAGATTATAATTGAGTACCTGGAGTTTCAATCCGCTTGAGGTTCTTCACAGTACAGTACGTATGGGTTTACAATAACACTAACAAATTCAAAACCTGTCTTGAAGTGGGTGGAAAAACATGAAACAGTGGAACCTTGATTTCACGAAGTGCCAAAGGACTAGGGCAATTTGTTCGTTATATCGAGGGTTCGTTATATCCAATACCTCCATTTAACGAATTTTCGGAAAAACTACCAAAATGTTCATTATATCGAGGTAAAGTTAATAATTAAGTTACAAAACCTGGCATTTGCGGATCTGAAAAATTACTGTAACAACATTTCAGTACCGAGCTATACATAGCTACGGCACTAGAAACTCATACACATAAATTTTATCCTCGGTGGTCTGATTGGCATTCATGTTTTATCACATAGTAACATTTATTCGTTATATCGATGTTAATTGTACGTTTGCGGTTGTGGTTTGTGTTCGTTATAACGAGGATTTCGTTTAATCGAGGTTATGTTCCATACATTTTACTGTAATTTTAGCCGGGCTGAAGAAAATCGTTTCTTACGCCGAGAACTTTGTTATATAGAGCTTCGTTAAATCGAGGTTCCACGGTACCTGAAGTTTCAATCCACTTGACGTTTATCACAGTACAGTACGTATGGATTTACAGTAAGACTAAAAAATCAAAACACGTTTTAAATTGGGTAGGAAAACATGATGACTACAAAGAAAACAGAAGCAGCATTCACACCTGAAGTCGTCCAAGTTTGATTTTCACTCCCCCACAAAGTCCTCGCTTGAATGCTGCCAACATCTCAAGCGCCTCGTGAAACTGCTTGCCTCTGGAAATAAAGTAAAACATCAGTCTTATGAGTATTGATTCACAAGTTATCTTAAAGATAACGATAACCCAGGGAAGCGAGGGTGACGCTGCAAATTTCCCTTTCGTAAACTTTCGCTGCCATTCTTTTAAGACTTCTGACCTGTTATTGAGAGTATTTCTATTAAAAAGAAAGAAGACCGTCACCCAGGGTCGAACCCGGACCACGAAGCCGGACCTTTCGTATCCTAATCTCTCTCCCTTACACAACACGCCACAGTTCCGCAAAATTTGAGTCCATGATTGATCGCAGGCTCAAGTTTATGTTTTTTTTCTCCCCTGAAGTTAAGTATGAATTTTTGGATTACCTTGCAATGTTTAAAGTCTATTGTCCGACGCAAAAGTAAAACGCATATAGCTCTGGCTAAATCTATATATTACATACTCTCAAATATAGGACAACCACTTGCACAGCCGCAATAATAGGCGCAGTTTTTTCGAAAGATTGAGTAGACAATAGGGTTTAGAAATCAGAGATTTTGTTCCGTAAAAGGGAAACGAATATTACGAAACTGATCAAACGTCGAGTAGACGTCTGAGATTGGGCCTGCCTCGTTCCTTGGCGTCTCAAGTGTTTAGACAACGGAAAATGCGACTTAACGCGAACAATTAATGAGTATCGCGCAATGGACTATGGGTAAGTTTAACGTTGACGCAAAGAATGCAGTGAAGGGTGAGCACCTTTCCCATGATACCTAGCGTGGAACCAAAATCGCTCCAAGTGCTCTCGAATCGCTCTCGAATCTGCTAGAGACAGGGATGGGCTGAGGATTTGTTTATGTCCAGTCTACAACAGGGATTCCATAGATACAGTTGAACACTGGTAAAAAACAAGTGTTCCAGAGCCCCGGCAGGATACTTTCCTTCAAATTTAAAAAAGTAACCCTCCCTTCCCGCCCTTTAGATATATTCTATTGACCACTTACCGTAGATTTTTTTCTCTCAGCAAGAGGCATAATGTAGGGCGTCCTTTCATATTCCAATTGTTTCGTGTGAAGGCTAAATTTGTCTACGATAAGAAAAGTGACAAATAAGCTTCGAAAGATCTCTTGACGGTTTTACACTCTTAAAATGAACATTATGAGTGATCTAAGGTTCCATTCCTATATTGAAATTACTATCATTATCATTATTATTATTAATATTAATATTATTATTATTATTATTATTATTATTATTATTATTATTATAAAACTACCATTATCATGAATTGTAAATAGGTTTTAATAGCTAATTTTGTTGCCGATAAAGTTATCACTAAAATATTATTATTATTGTTATCTTTTTCTTCTTTCACAGTTTGTACTGTCCAGGGTTCAGAGAAGCAACAAGTTTCCTTGGGAGCGGCTGGAGGGGAGTCATTATTTAATTGGAGTTCCTCGACATACATGTTTCCAGGGATTTTTTCCACGTACTTTCCTAGGCCCTTATTAACTAGGCCAAGTGCTCCAATAACTACAGGCACAGTTTCTATTATCATCATTATCTTCGTAAGAATGCAATTGAACTTGAAAATAGTTTCTTCTTTTTTTTGTTCGAAATGAATTGTTTTAATTGAAATGAAGTGTTCTTAATTTGAATAATTTTTGTTTTATGAAATGAAGTTTTTTTTTCTAAACAAAACTAAGTGTTTTTTTTAAACGAAAGGAATTGTAAATAGTATTTTGACGAAATAGTTTTTTTTTTAAAGTGACTTAATTGTATAAAGGATTTTAATAGTTAGTATGTTATCAATGAAATACGTTCTTTATTATTATTATTACTATTGTTTTTTAATTGAAATGAATTTTTTTTAATCCAAATGAACAGGAGCCTACATGACATGATTTGTAAATAGTACTTTGGGCGAATAGTTTTTTTTTTCAGCGAAATTAATTGTAAATAGGTTTTAATAGTTAGCATTGTCATCAATACAAGGTTATTTTCATTATTAAAAAATTCAGAATTCATTATTATTATTATTAGAGGTATAAAATTACTTCTTTACCTTTATTTCGTCGATAAGCAGAGCCATATCCAAAGCCATGTAAAAGTCGTTCTCGTCGAGAAGTTTTGGATAAGTAACAACTGTTCTTCCTAAGATCCGGTATATCTGCAACAAAATTCACCGAAATTCGTTTGAAATTCATAACTTCGAAATCTCTTTGAATGGAAAAACAAACCGCAACAACCATTTTACCTTGCTAGTTCCCAGAGTTCCTATTGGTCTCGGTGGACGCCCGGATAATCCGAGTTTGCGATTGACGCCAAGACGCTTATAGGCCTAAAAAAAAAACAAAGAGCAATTTAGAAATTGCCAACGTGACCTTAACCCGTCGCGTTCACACTACTCGCGACTTGTTTCATTCGCCAGAAGCCGAAAGGGTCAAACAAACTTTGTTCCATTTTCCGCCAAAAACATTTCTCACGTGAACCCCGTCTCTGTCGATTGTCTAATCAAAATGCTGACCATCAAGCATGCTAGCTACTCCAGCTACTTTAGGCCCGCAGTCTGATGGATAGGTTAAGAACGTTACCTGAACCAGCAGTGAAGGCGGCCAGATCTGTATGGGTTCAATCTGTTGTGGGGTTTGTGTCTCAATACCAAATGTTGCTAAGGTAGTTTGTAGACTGCAAATCAACAGTATAGCAAAGCGGGTGAATAGTATAACTTAGAGTTACTGAGGATGAAAACACACGTAAAAGGTCCAGCAAGACCGTTACTTATGGCAAACCACAGGCGGCCCAGACGTAGTATGTGTCACTGAATGAATATAGGTTAATATCCACATGGACAAATTAATGCGATGAGTCGTCGAAACTCCCATGGACTAAAATAGTCTAAAAGTCAAAATATAACAAAACAAAGCTAAGATACCTTCAACTGAACGTGTCCTTGTCTTTCCTGGCCGGTTTAAGTGGCATTTTGTTGAGTTTTGAAATTGTAGGTACTATCCACTAAAGAAGAATTAAAGGCTGGCTACAAAACAAACAGACCATCTCCACGCGCCTTCACACGAAGCGCTATAAATTCGAGAATAATTGACGAATCCGCTCCAAATAACCATCGGCTAATCTGCAGGTAACGTGTGCTCCTGCTTCTGGCTCGCTTGCTCCACAAAACCCATCGCAACTGCACAATAATTGCTCGCTCATCAACAACCACTGTTGACCTTTACGCTTCGATATGACCGCAAACGACCAGGTTTAATACGCGACGTGAATATTCAAGCTTAGCGACCGCCTTCGCGCAACAATGCAGCACTTGCTATGGGAGGGATGGTACTATTGCTTCCAGGTCAATCAATCGGGAAAATAATATTGAAGCCCTTGTAATGTTAAAAAAGATCCAATTTGCCCAAGGAGCACCGAACAGATTCGAATCTTATAGCGGAGCTAAAAAAATGAGCGGCAGTGGAAAAAGTGAACAAGAACATGTACCACATTTTCTCCATAAAAAGTGAAAACCAGGAAGTTTTCTGGACGTTTCACGTTGCAGTCATGCAAATCAACGGCAAGGAAATGTACAAGAAAGTGTGCTGCAATTAGAGCTATTGTTGTTTTTCACAGTTCTGGTCAAGGGCATCCAACTTTTAATTTTTCACATTTCACTCACCGGGTTAGACTGTTTTTCGTAGAGAGTAAAATGGAATCCTAAAATTTTCGGATTCAAAAATGTGATGAAAGAAGGTATCTGAAAAATTATCTCCTTCGTAATACGTTAAATTGCATCTAAAATTTTCGGGAAAATAATTCTGAATTCCTCGTAATTTCGAAAAGACTCAAGTTCCTCTAGAATGGCCGAACCCTGAGATGCAAATTTTATAGCGCCACTTAGAATGCATTTCTATAGAGCTAAAAGTACTTTATGAATAGCTACAGAAGTGTTTTCAATTGAAATTATTTGAGGAAACAGTCGTTGGGTGGCCCTGTCTCGTTGCCTTCTCCGCTTGGCATTACACGATATATTTTATATTTAGTATGAGCAAACTATAAATCATTAGCTTCGCTTTTAGCCCTCCTGACGAAATTTATGTAAGCGCTGTTTAGAAAGCATTTTTCGATCAAAAGTACTCTGGACAGCCTTAAATGTGTTTTCAATGCATTTGAGGGGGAAATCATCGTTGGGTGCCCCTGAGTTTTGAGAATAATGATAATAATAAAAAAAAGATATCGCGCAAATAAATTTTACTTTACGATATCTTCAGCTGTATCTTCTATTCAGCTGCATAGCGGGGGCCGGATTTGCCTTTTTCCTGGGCGGAAAATTCTCGTCCTCCTTCACCAGTTTGGACAACATATTATGGAGTAAGACGTTGCTAATCTAAGCAAATAGGTCTGAGTCAAGAACCTATGCAAGCGGCTGGACGAACAATGTGACGGCAGCTCAGACAGCGAACGTTAGAAGAATTCGAACTTGAAAACCAGGGCTGCCCTGTTGAAAACTTACGGACGGTCCCGATCGCCTTATGTTTTCTGGTCAAAACTAACGCAGCGAACCTTCGGACAGTCGATTGACCTAGAAGCAGTAGTACCATCCCTCCCATAGCAAGTGCTGCATTGTTGCGCGAAGGCGGTCGCTAAGCTTGAATATTCACGTCGCGTATTAAACCTGGTCGTTTGCGGTCATATCGAAGCGTAAAGGTCAACAGTGGTTGTTGATGAGCGAGCAATTATTGTGCAGTTGCGATGGGTTTTGTGGAGCAAGCGAGCCAGAAGCAGGAGCACACGTTACCTGCAGGTTAGCCGATGGTTATTTGGAGCGGATTCGTCAATTATTCTCGAATTTATAGCGCTTCGTGTGAAGGCGCGTGGAGATGGTCTGTTTGTTTTGTAGCCAGCCTTTAATTCTTCTTTAGTGGATAGTACCTACAATTTCAAAACTCAACAAAATGCCACTTAAACCGGCCAGGAAAGACAAGGATACGTTCAGTTAAAGGTATCTTAGCTTTGTTTTGTTATATTTTGACTTTTAGACTATTTTAGTCCATGGGAGTTTCGACGACTCATCGCATTAATTTGTCCATGTGGATATTAATATATTCATTCAGTGACACATACTACGTCTGGGCTGCCTGTGGGCAAACGTACATACAATAGACCAGTTTCGAATTAAACACTACCGCAGAATACAAACATTAACGGCACATTTATACAGGGTTAGCCTCGACGCAAAGTAAAATATTCAGAAATTCCGGCAAGTAAGTGTTTAAAATTTGAATATACACAATAGACAAAGTAATAAACAGGTCTTTTTCTCGTTGGAATTTGTGAATATATTACTTCAGATGGAGGATAAGCCTGTAAAAAATGCGTCTTCACTTCTTTAATTCAGCGGTCATAGCGAACTCGAAACTGGACTATTACTGTAAATATTCGATGACAATTTTTCATTGTCTACACTGTTGCGGCTCCTAGAAATGACGCAAAAAGATATTCCAAAACCTGCAGTGAAACTACTTGCCTGCCCCCAATAGTTAAATTCCAATTTCGAACATTTTATGACCCATCAGAGTGCAAACAATAGCGAACTGCCGTCGAATTTCGCTGGGCCCGTTACAAAGTGTTAGATTCTCACCCCCCCCCCTTCCCCTTTTTGACCTCACACACCATAATGGTCAGTTCTAAAACATGCAAATCATCCTTTTTGTCTTACAATTCAGAGTTATCTAAGACGGTTCAGATATGGCGAGATATGAACCTTACTCAAAGTTTAAACAAAAACGGATCGAAAGTTCTTACTTTCTGCTTTCTGAGATAAGTGACACTTGAACTACCAAATCGGAATCAGCAACCTAAAATGTTAGGGAAAACATAAATAACATCAATAAACCTAAATAGTTAATAAGGTGTCCTCGATTACTACTTCGAGCAACAGATCGGTAATGTGATACCGTAAAATTCCGAAAATAAGCCCCCTTTTTGAGGGGCTTATTTTTGGAGGGGCATTTATTCGGAGGGGTTTATCTACGGAGGGAAATTTGCGTTTCAAAATCGATTGGGTTAGTCTCATAGTTGGAAGTAAATTTACCGTTTTTGCGTTGTTTTACTTTACATTTGAGGGCAAATTTCCAATTACAAGCCCCCGGGGGGCTTACATTTGGAGGGGCGATTTAACGGAGTGTTTTTTGCGTTACTGGATTGGGGAGCTTACATTTCGAGGGGCTTATACATGGAGGGGCTTATTTTCGGAATTTTACGGTAATTGAATTAACAGCGATACACTGATACTTTTACATGTGACATTCTTTCGTTTCGTATTTCCGCTGTACCTTAAAAGAGGAATATCTGTGACTGCTGAAACCATAGCGGTTTTTGGCGGAGTGAGCTAAGTGTCGTCCAATAGGATCAATCTCATTAACATCCAAAAGGCCTGCTTCTACAAATAACAAGAGAAGCCTGGCTCAGCCAAGAGTACCTTACAGGACAGGGATGTTAAAGTGCCTGACACCAGTCCCTAGACGAACCAGTTATGGTCATTATTATACATTATAATTATTCACTGTCTGTCTTCTCATTGGCTACGAAGCTACTGTTAATAAAAAATTTTGGAAATCAGCGCGCGTAACCAACAGATTAGTTAGTTGTCTGAAAGCAGATAACTGTAGGTTGTACGCGCAACGCATGATTACCAAGGGTAAAGTCAAATCACTTCCGTGCTACGCTGAGTATGTGTTGTTTTCTTTAAACAATGTATAGTAAAACATTTATTCGACTAGGTAAGTGTTATCAGCCTCGATCTACGGCTCGGCTGATAACACTTACCTCGACCTTGATTAGTCCGTGTATAACAAAACTCTCATTTAATAATTGTTTATTAGTATAATCAAACTAGTGGTCTATTATCAATGCTGCGTTCTGATTGGTTGAGCTACTACTAGGCTATATGTTATAGCCCCCTACTAGCGAAAAGCGCGGGCTTTTTGGCGGCAAAAAAGGATTAAATTCTAGCTTTAACTAGCTAAAAATTTTTTATTCTCGATATTTTTGACCAATTAGTTGGATTTTTCTAAAACAATTATTACCCTCGCCCTCATGGCCTCGGAGTTAATAGCCCATTCGGGCTCGAGGAAAAATTATCATTTATTAAATTATTTCGCTGCATACAGTCCTCGGATATTACTGTAAAAAACTGCGATTAATCATCATGCGAGAACAAGAGCCCAGCACACCTACATTCCAATTTTTTGGAACGAAAACGTTGCGTGAAGTAGCCTGATTCTCAGACGTCCGAGGTCGTTCGCGGCCCCTTCGCTTCTCTCCATCTTCTCGTCAGGCTATGCGTGAGGCAAACTCAAACGTTTTCTACTCGATAACGAAGAACGCTATTGAATTTGAAGTTCGTGAAAGTATAAAAGCTTAAGAGGAGATGGAACTAAAACATCACAAGATTCAATGTATAGTTTTTTCATTTCGAAAAATGATGACGTCATTGTATCGTGACGTCATATGATGATGTCATATATACCTAACAACTGCATGATGAGCAAGAGGGACTGTCCCCATAGAAACAGGTCACCATTTTCGTCACTGGGTAGTCGGACTTGAGAGTGTGGCTCTTTCTTCTCAGCATCCAGGTAGATTTTTGGTACATAGTAATAATGAGGAATCAGGTCACCTGATAAACACACAGTCAATGGCTAGGTTAAAGAACGAACTGAATACACCGTATTCACAAATGGCGGACACACGGGAAAAAACTGGTGCCTAGTCATGAAAGCGAGGCGTTGGAGGATAAACAAAAATTGTAAATGAAGACTTTCAGTGAACTTGCAGAGTGTTTAGCACGGATTCCACCTAAAATAACTTTGTACGGACTTCTTTTTGAATACAATTACGTGGGATGTCTTCTGCTTTTAATGTTTAGCAGTGATTTGCTGTTTGCAATCAAAAGGGACGCGTATATCTTCAAGGAAACAGGATGATTTTGTAGGTTTCCGAAGCATCAAAAGCTCGACAAGTGGACGATCGCCGGAGAAAAGGGGCAAACATGTTGGCCCAAACTTCACTTTGAAACCGAGTACGAAAGCCAGCTCACTGCAATTCGGTGAAACAGAAATATTTACAAATCTTGGTGGCAAGAAAGAAAGAAATAAGCGACAGATATATGGCCTACTTGTTAACGCAAGAGACGTCTGCCGTTGAACTGAAACACAGTGAGTTCAAGTCGAGATGGAAAAAAGGAAGACAGGAAAGAAGAGGTGACTGAGGTTTCGATGAAGTTATGTTTGGTTTTTGTTTGCTAGGACGTTATTCTCTGATCTTTATCGGTGAAGGACATCAATGAGAACTATTCTTTAGTATAAATGCAGGAGCGATCGAGTGGAGTACGCTCAAAATTTCAACATGTTACTCGGCAGACTCGGAAAGCCGGCCACATATCATTTCAGCGAGTAATTTCGTATTTCTTATCTTTGGCTGTTAAGAGTTTTAACTTAATGTTTCATAATATTTCAAAGCTGAAGAATACATAAATAAATAAAATGATGGTCTTCTTAAACGGATCCAGACTCGAAATTAATTATTCGAAACAGAAGCTTGCCGTGTTCATTCCTGACACAAACATTAACCTGGTAAAATGTAAGCTTTATACTACTTTTTTACCAAGAGCTCTCTGAGATAATGCCCTAAAGGAGACCAGGCAAATAGCAAGCCATAAGATTCACACCCTACAGCTTCTAATTTTAATAAAATTATTTTTAATTATTTCGCAATGACAAAGAAATCATGAGATTTTTACTAAGCTCTGCCAACGTACCTCATAACAATTCACTCCAAAGCGACGGAATTAATATGATCCAAAGGAAGTCGTAAATGCAGACATACATATATACATAGATATGTATAAAATGACACTGACATGAATAAATGAGCCTTGTGAATGAATCTTTCTTGACCTTTTTTGTGTAATGGCGGAGGTCTCTTCCGTTAACAAGTAGGCCATATATCCGTCGCTTATTTCTCTTTTTCTCGCCACCAATATCTGTTTTTATTTCCGTTGTACAGAATTGTAGTGATCTGGCTTTCGTACTCGGTTTCAATGAGAAGTTTGGGCCAACATTTTGCCGCTTTTCTCCAGCCATAGCCCGCACTTGTCGAGCTCCGATGCTTCGGAAACCTACAAAATCATCCTGTTTCCTTGAAGATATACGCGTCCCTTTTGATTCCAAACAGAAAATCACTACTAAACATTAAAAGCAGAAAACATCCCACGTAATTGTATTTAAAAAGAAGTCCGTATAAAGTTATTTTAGGTGGAATCCG